TTTCTTTCCTGCTGCCATCACTCAACTGGTACTAGAGTGTGTGAATGAAAACAGACAATACCTGACTGAAACACAATGCCTTGAAATCCCAGTTTACATCATTAAAACAGATTCCTTAAATAACACACCTGTAAGGTAACTAACTTAGAAGGCTAAGAGTATGCTGCTCAGCTGCCTGCCTTCGAGTGCCCTTGTTGGGAACACTGATAAAGGGCTTCACATCTGTAGGGACAGGCTCCAGAAGGCTCTGCCTCCAGGAAAGCATTAGCCAGCAGCAGCTCTTCCTACAGGAGCAGAAGGTTCAAAAGAGGATGGAGAATGAAGCTAGACTGTTCTCAGTGGTGGCAGATGACAGAACAAGGAACAATGGTCTCAAGTTTGCAGCAAGGGAAGTTTAGGTTAGATATTAGGAAGAACTTTCTGACTAGGAAGGTAGTAAAACAGTGGAACAGATTACCCAGAGAGGTGGTGGAATCTCCATCCTTGGAGGTTTTTAAGACCCGGCTAGACAAAGCCTCAGCTGGGATGATCTAGTTGGGGATGGTCCTGCTTTGAGTAGGGGGTTGGGCTAGATGACCTTCTGAGATCCTTACCAACCCTAATTTTCTATGATTCTATGGTAGCATGGCAATATTCTGTTCCCTGCTCTGTACTCTTCCTCCTGGCCCTAGTTAGGCTGGCCATCTATCTGATGAGAAGTAGGCTCTGGCCAGTAGGATCCCTTGGTGGCTTCCTGTCTCTCATCTGTGCACACCTCTGGACAGTTTCACTGGGTAGTGTCCACTGGCTCCTTGGACTTGTTCGAAGGCCAGTGGACACAGGGGGCCCTCCAAGCCTTACCTGGCACATCCCCTGGCTGAGCCTCACACGTAGATCCCGACCCAGAGCAGCAGGAAAAGGACTCCGAAGCCCATGAATAGCGAAGCCACCAGGGAAATGAGTAGCTCCTTGTAGATATCCCGTGTGTACTTGGTGGAGGTCACTTCGTAGCTGCAGGTGCTAGTTAAGGAAATGGCTGGAACTGTGGGACACAGGAAGGCAGGGGGGCAGCTGCTGGGGGTGGGGGCATGTCCCTACGCAGCCTAAGTCCCCTGCTGCGGGGCAGGAGAAACAGCCTTGCCCACTGCACCCCTAGGCCTCTCAGGGAGCCTAATGAAAAGGCTCAAGCCTGCCCCAGCCCTTCATCCCCTGCTCTTCTCCTCTAGGTTCACCCCAACCCCACACTTAGAGCTCGTCCCTGACTGCCCCAGCGTCCCTCCCCACCCCCAGGTGTCATTATCCCCTCCCCAGGTTTCTGTGGACGTTTATTCCACTTCAGTGTTGCCCAGTGTACGATAATTATCGTATCTGTATGACAGTTTCAACTTTTGCATGATATACAATTGATAACAGTAAAAGTGCTCAAAACATATGACGGGGGTGTGGGTTGTAGCCGTATTGGTCTAAGGACATAGGCAGACATGGTTCTTCGGCTGAATCCGATTCACTCAAAGTACCTCGTCTGCAAAACATACCGTCGTTTTTGAGGCAGCACATGCAAAACCCTAGTTATTCTCAGAGTCGTAAGCAACTTTTGGGTTTGCTGCCAGCACTTTCCTACGGCAGCTTGCCTCGAAATAAAGAAATGCTCCAACTTTGATGCCCCAGGTCTCCCTCAGTCACTCACCACTTACACCAGGCAATATAAAGTAAACAGGCAGGCTCATTTGCATACTTATATGCCTATTTTTTTCACCGTGTACGGTAGTTTTTCAGCAAATCCGATCGTTTTGAGCTTCCAATACGATCATTTCCTACTGAGGCGCTGGCAGCGCTGCCCCCTCCTCGGCCCTCCCCTCCCCTCCCCTGCCCGCCCGCGGGCCGAGGCGGATGCACGAAGAACCAGGCGGTGAAGAACATGCCGATGGCCAGCAGCACCACGGTGAGGTGCGGGAACACGGCCGGGTTCACCGGGCTCGTGTAGCGGCTCATTGCCTCCAGCTCCTGCAATTGAGCGGGGAGGAGGGGGGAAGAAGGCGGGTGAGACGCTGGAGGTCCTGTCTTTCCCCTCCCCCACTCCTCCTCCGCCGCCCCCCACTCACCATGTCGCTGCTGCCCCGCTCCCCAGCAACGGAAGGACACGTCGCTCGTCACCTCCGACCCCGGAGCAGGAAGAGGCGGCGGCGGAAAGGGACGCGCGGGGGCTGTCGGGAGTCGTGGTCCGGCAG